TATACATATTTATAATATATATATCTATATACATCTACATATGTATATATATATATACATATGTATATATATAAACATATACATATGTCTATATATGCCGATATATATATATATATATATATCTAAATCTAAATCTAAATCTATATCTACATCTATATACATATATATTTATATACATATATATAATTTTACTGAGATCAAATATCTGCAGCCGTATCATTGACATTCTTGTGCTTGTAATGATCGGACAATACAGAATTATTGCCATGCCATTTGCACACTAAGCACTGCTCATGATAACACAATGTGGAGCTATTCTTGATTGCATATACCTGTGTTGTTGATAATGGGTCCAGCACAAGCTAGACAGGCAGCCATGGGGGTGGTGGAAGAGCTCGACTCCTGCACACATCAAATACAGATGTAGATTTAAGATTAGGCAAGTCGTATATTGTTAACAGAGATTTCAGAATTGGCGACAGACATAAACTGAAACTTTGGAAGCCATGTAATGATCAGGTACAACCTATATATTTAGATACCACAGTCAGATTCCTGCAAGGTAGGCCATAAATGGTCAAACTATGTACTACAAATAGATAGGCCATATACTGGTCAGGTACAACCTATATTTCAGATACCACCGACGCGTGCAGACTAGTCTCTTCGCCTTAATTAGTGGTCTTGAAATGATGCGTCATCAAGAAGTGCGAATACGAGCTGACTTAAACCCGAATTGTAGCTTAACGCATTCCCAGTACCGAACGGAATAGCATTTATACTCGAGAAACACTACCAATCGCGGTATGAATAGGAAACTATAGCGCTCAGTACATACGTAAACCTGCGTCAAGAGACAACAATCAAAAACACAATACTGAGCATAGAAGCTATGTATATACCTTACTATTGAAACAAAGTCAGTCGTGTACATTAAAGAGGTACAGGTGGGAGAATGTGAGCCATCTGGGATGCACACATGTTTACACGGGGAAAACACACGCCGTTGATACCAGAGAGTATATAAGGTACATCAAATCGAAATCGCGCACCAATGAGCACAAAAAACCTCGTATATACATTACTAGTAAGCACTCACCTCGATGAAAAGCTTGACAACAGATACAAAGTCCGTGTGCTTCTCATTCAGATACTTCTTGTCGAACACAAGTGTTCCGGGGGCTTTTTCAGTGCGTTTGGGCTTATCAGTGAACGAAGTGGGGATTTCCCATAGCGACAGACGGGTGTTTGTGCCCCCACAGTCACCGACAATAATGAGATCAGACATATTCAGTATAGTGAGTTATCCTTCGAGTGTAATAAGATTGTGCGGATGCTGCTTGTGTTGGTATCTTCTAAATAGGATAGGAACGACTCTCTCTCTGCCTGTGACTCGGTGTATACAAACCATCACAAAGCACTACACAGATACTACATTTTTTCGAGAAATATCTGCTGGAGGTGTTTACTGTTTACATGCACACAAATAACTCCGGGTATTTAATCATCGGAGAATGGTCGAGAAATTCCTATTTTTGGATAAAGTCTTCTGCTACCAAAATCAACAAAACTCTGGCACCCTTTATCAGGCTCTATCCTGGATCCTCTCTGATGATTAATGATAAAATAGGAACTAATTTGGCTTTTTCTTGTTTTGAACTAATTTAGCGTAAGTAGGTGGTTATGCACTAATCAGACTATTGTCTATTTTGGTGACTATCTTGTTTTTGAAAAACAAAACACAGTCTGGCAGAAAGGTGATGACGTAAAACGTGTCAGTGACTTGTCACGTGAAATTTTGAATATCATCCCCTGCCAGGACTAGGCGTCAGGCCGTCCGCCGTGAAACATCGAACAGTAAATAAAGATATATATGCATGTATGTATTTAGTCTGACAGAAACCTCTTGCAAAGATTCCAATCATTAATAAGGTACACTTGATCAACACGAGATTGTCAATATGGATGTTCAACGCTTGAAAGATGCTATAGTAGATTATCCCGATTTCCCACTGGTAAGCTGAGATACATAATTTGACGG